AGTGTATATCTCTGCGGAGGGTGAGCTGGTGAAAATGCCTCCAAAGATAGAGGGAGTGGTCGCTAAGTACCCTGATCTATTTGAAGAGTCGAAAGGGGTTGTTGAGAGGGAGGTCGTCCACGCGATAGAGATTATCCAAGGGTCTAGTATTCCAAAGGGTAGGATCTATCGGATGTTCCAACGGAGCTTGATGAGCTTCGTCGGCAACTCAGGGATCTCATAGAGAAGGATTGGGTCCCGCCGAGTGTCTCCCTGATGGGTCTGGTGTCCTATTCGTACCAAAGAAGGGGGGAACGTTGAGGATGTGCATTTACTATAGGGCCCTCAATGCCATCACCGTGAAGAAAGCAAAGCCCTACCGCGCATCGATGACTTGTTGGACCGAGTGCACGGGTGTCGGCACTTCAGTAAGATAGATCTGAAGTCTGGGTACCATCAGATTGCAATCCGGCCCGAGGATCAACACAAAACCGCATTTTAGGCCAGGTAAGGTCTGTACGAGTTTGTGGTGATGCCTTTCGACCTTCGCAATGCTCCTGGCACCTATCAGCACGTGATGAATAGGATCTTTCATGACTACTTAGATAAGTTTGTCATCATGTACCTCAATGACATACTTGTTTTTAGTAGGATTGTTGAGAAGCATGTAGCCCATTTAGATGAAGTACTCAGTCTCCTTCGGCAGCACTAGTTCAAGATCAACTGGGAGAAGTGCGAGTTTGGCCGCACCCGGATCTTGTACCTGGGTCATGAGATTTCAGCGGAGGGATTGAAGCCCGATAACGTGAAGGTGGCCAGCATTCGTGACTGGCCGCGTCCTCAGCCTGTGACTGAGGTGAGGTCCTTCTTAGGGATGACCGGCTACTACCGCAATTTCGTGAAGAGTTATAGCATAGTAACCGCAACCTTGTCGGATCTCACACGCCTTGACACCCCGTGGGAGTGGACAGACAAGTGTGAGGCTGCTTTCAAACATCTAAAGCAATCTCTGACGCACCATAAGGTCTTGACGTTCGTTGTGACCACGGATGCCAGCCAATATGGCATTGGTGTCGTGCTTGCGCAGCAGGAGGGGAAAAAGTTGAGGCCCATAGAGTACATGTCCAAAAAGATGCTCTCTCGGAAGTTGGCTAATTCCACCTATGAGAAGGAACTCTCTGCGATCTATAAAGCGCTGACCCATTGGAGACACACTCTCCTTAGGAGATCCTTTTACGTTCGGACTGATCATCAGACCTTGAGGTGGATGAGGACACAGCCTGTACTCTTCGATGCTTTGAAACGTTGGATTGAAGTCGTAGAACAATATGACTTCAAACCTCAGTACATCAAAAGGGAGTACAACAAGGTTGCTGATGCGTTGTCGCGTAGACCAGACTTCCTTGGTGCACTGATCACTGAATTTGGGCTTGCGGACGATGTTACTCGATCCTTGGTGGAAGCCTATCGCGAGGGTCCGTTTATGGCAGAGATCATATGCAGACTCAAACAAAGGACAAGGTGACTTCTGACGAGTTTATGTTGGTCGATGGCCTGCTGTTCCTCGAGAAGGCCAAGAATAAATGTTTGTGTGTGCTAAACCGGGAGTCTTTGCGTAGTTTATTTTTAGGCCAGTGTCATGATGCCACAGGACATTTTGGCTATAAGAAAACTGCAGCAAACTTGTTGCAGCAGTTCTGGTGGCCCACAATGATGAGAGACGTCAAGCTGTACGTGGAAACTTGTCAGGTGTGTCAAAGAGACAAGCCACCCACACAGGCCCCTCTTGGGCCTCTCAAGCCCCTTCCGATTCCGAAAAGGCCCGGTGAGAACCTGTCCATGGATTTCATGGATATGCTGGTCACCAGCAAGAGCGGTATGAGATATGTTTTTGTCATTGTGGATAGATTTAGTACGTACACTAGGTTAGTCGCGATGCCTGAAACAGCCAAGACAGAGTATGTGATTAAACTGTTTAAGGAGAACCAGGTCAGAGACTTTGGTTTGCCAAAGTCTATTATTAGTGACTGGGATGTACGATTTACGAGTGAGTTGTGGAAGGCCGCAGCTGCTGAACAAGGGACACAGCTGCAGATGACCTCCGGGAACCACCCAGAGGCAAACGGGCAAGCAGAGCAGCTGGACTGCGCTGTACAACACCTGCTGAGGCACTATATCAAGCCTAATCAGGTGGACTGGAATGAGAAGCTTGCTCTCGTCGCCAGTCTGTACAACAACGCTGTGCACAGTGCAACAGGGGTGATCCCCAACAGTCTGCTACTAACTTTCAAGCCTTGACTGCCTTTAGATTTCTTACAACCTCGACTGCCTCTAGATTTCTTACTACCTGAGAACCAGTCCACTGTTGCACCTGGTACATTGGAATTTGCTTACCGTTATGAAGGCCTTATGCAGCAAGCAGTGGAGTTTGCTTACCGGTATGAAGGCCTTATGCAGCAAGCAGTGGAGCAGATGCACAAAGCAAACGCGGCTATGATAGAGTCTGAGAACAAACATAGCCGCCCGTCTGCATTTCAGGTTGGGGATAGAGTCTGGGTGAAGTCGTCTGAACTTGGGCAAGAGCATGGAATCTCTCGAAAGCTCATGCCCCAGTATTTCGGACCATGGGAGGTTTTAGACGTGGTCAGAGACGATCCTGATGGGCCTTCCTATGTGGTGCAAATCCCTGGTCACCTTCGCACCTACCCTGTCTTTCACGTCTCCAAACTCGCACCTTTCGAGCAAACTGACCAGTTTCCCTCTCGTCGGTCAATGCTGCCCCCAACCATGGATGGAGAGGTCGACATCGACGACATAGTGGACCACAGGGAAATGCCGGTTCCAAGACCAACAGGCAGGGGCCGTCCTCCAAAGTCGAAGCTGCAATATCGCGTTCGGTTCAGACATCACACTGATCCAAAGGAGGATAGATGGTTTACAAGGCCGCTCCGCAGGTTGTCGCTCACTATGAGAAGTTGCTGCAGAAAGGAAAGCGCCAGATTCAGTAAACTTCTCAGAGGACTGTCAAAGTATGGAGGAGGGAATGCGAGGCTCAAGGCCTCGGTAAGCCCTACTGGGCCCTGTTTCGGCAAGAACGGCCGCCCTAAGTGAAGGCGGGCCTGACAAGTGACGAGAGGCCTATTTTGGGTTTTGACGCAGCTGAGAAATTCAGACAGTTGCGCAGCGCCAGTTGGTTGAGTGAGCCCAGGCCCTGCCTGCCTTTTTCCAAATGTATCTGAGGCAGGCCCTGGGCCAGACACGCGGCATGAACTGGACACAGGCCGCTGGCAGTTGGACACGGGTAACCACCCCAGGCCCTGTGGAAGATACCCTGGAACAGGGGCTCAGCCACTTGGGGCCTACCGGAAGCTTCCTTGGGGAGGCCCAGGCCAGACAGACAGCCCCCGACTGGCAGCCTCATTCCATAAGATAAAGGGCCTGTCTGCTGGCTGGACATTCGGGCACTTGCTGCTTATGCGCAAGCGCTGCTGCCCCAGCTGCTGGAGCGAGTGCCTACGTTCTCACGGGCGAGCAGAGGAGAAGCAGGCAGCCATAGCCAAGCTGGCCTGCGCATTGCTGGATGGGGGACATGGTGGTCCTTGGGTGCACGTGGCATCTGTGTGGGGGATCGTGGTTGTGAGTGAAGCGTGAGACATGCCTGGTGCTTGAGGCGAACGGTATTGGGCGAGATCCTGCTCGTACTTCGGGAAGCTGTTGACATCACCAGCAGCATTGTAGATAGGCTAGATAGGATCTGCCATTTGTAGTCTGGGCACCGAGCGCCAGATAGGGATTCAACATTGGTTCATTGTTGATGATGATGATGAGACTAATCCAACATTGTCGCTTGTGAGATTCTGCTGTGCTCTTATTTGGTGAGTTGCAATCTGGTTTCATGTTTATGCTGCTGCTTGGTTTTCTGGAATTCCCTATCGCTCATTTTCCTTGCAAAAGGGGCTCAGAGGTTGTGGCGATTAAGAAATTTAAGAGACACATTCATTCCCTTTTCATCTATTCTTTTTTTTTCCTCATGGTGTTGCTAATATGGTAATTCACAAGTTAAACAACACAAAGCGCACCACCCAACACAGGGCGCTGAAGGCATCAGCAAAAAAATGTATTTTGTCCTTGCCAGCCTCAGAACCCATGCAGACAGACACTCCTTTCAAACCTTCTTGATCCATATTTCTCTCTTTTTCATGCGTGCAAACACTCCATTCAAACCTTCCTTACCCAAATTTATTTCTCTGTTTCTCATGCAGCCCTGCACTCCCACAGCTCCCCTCTTATCACGGCCCAAACGCTCTCCCCACCACGCTTCTTACCCGGCCCCACTTAATCCAGTACCCCTTCTTCCAAAGGCAAACAGAAAATTGTGAATCACTCACAAGTTGAGTAGATGGAAGCTGCACACAGCAAACATGATGAGCGCAGCCAAGACGAAAGCCCTATTGCACCCTCCCCCCCCCCCCCCCCCCCCCCCCCCCCCCCCCCCCCCCC